TTTGCTTACTTACTTGTTTATGTGTGTTTGTGTTGGGGGAGTGCACACACCATGGTCCACGTGTGGCACTTTTGCCTGTGGAGCGGTATAGCCAGCTGATTTTTTTTTTATTGTGTATGAGTGTTTTGCCTGTGTGTGTATTGTGTGCCAAATACATGCCTGGTCAGAAAAGGGCTTCTGATCCCCCGGAGTTACGGATGGTGTGAGCTGCCACGTAGGTGCTAAGAATCAAACCCACGCCCGTTTGCAAGAGCAGCAAGTGCTCTTAAGTATGCGCCATCTCGGGTTAGGGTTAGGGTTTAGGGTTAGGGTTAGGGTTAGGGGAAAAAAAGTATGTGCCCTCTCTCCATCCAGTCTCTGCTTTTGTGTTTTGAAATGTACTGCCAGACTTAGGAGCTACATTTTTTGTGTGCCTTCTGAGCAAGAAGTCACACACTGGGCTAATACAGCCCCATTTCTGTCTCAAGTGCTTAGGAACTCAGCCATATTTGTCATCTATAGCTGTGTGTGGCTGTTGTCACATTGCTGTGGCAGAAACCGAGTGGTGGGACAGTGACCGTGGTGACCTTTGCAGATTGACCCGTTCTGGCCCGTTTCTTACATGTTTTCCTATTCCCTGCTTTCTGATTCATTCGGTACGGTCCCCATGGTTCTAGTTAGTTTCATTTGAATCTTGTTTTCAAATTGTTCTTTTTAAGTTATAAACTTGGGAGCTTTTCAGTTCTCTGGAAGGTGGGTGGTGCACTCACCCATCCTCCAGAGGTAGCAGTGACATTGGGCACTGTGGTAGTACAGCAGGGTCACATGTTTAATTTCTGTCCTTAGCCATAGGCAGGCACATAGCACAGGCACTGTCTCAGCTACTGAGCCACAAATTCTGTGACAAAATTCCCAAGTTCTTAGACGTACGCTGGCAGTGAAGCACAGCGGTGGAGTGCTAGCCTGGCTCGTGTGAGGACCTGGCTCTCATCCCTAACACAGTAAACAAGCAGCACCCCGCACAGCAGCAGAGCCCCCCCCCCAGGACATGACTCCAGAGTCACAGTAGGCTAGATGTGCAGTGTACCCCAGTGTGTCAGACTTCAGGGGGCTGAGGCAGGAGGATCACATGCTTTAAGTCAGTTCATTGACTTACAGAGACCACATCTCACAAAAAGAAGATAAGGTTCTTAGAGGCCAATGATTAGACAGACGTTAGAAACAGTAGTAGTTTTCCCAGTAGACTATACTGGAAACCTCTGTGATAATAAACAGATATTACAGCAAGCCTGCAGCCCTCCACCAAAACAGCGCACTCAGTTCGTCAGATACAAGGAAAAGACCCAAGACTCTAAGATACAGGCAGGACTCAGTCAGCAGGTCTAACTTGGCTCTGCAAAGCAGCAAAGTACATAACACATTGGAAAAGTAATAGCATGTCTGTCTTGTTTCTGTTGTATGATTGTTCTTCTCTGTGGTAAACGTAGGCTTTACATATGCCTTAACCTAATGAAATCGTTCTTGCTTTCTTCCAGCCATGGTCTGAAAAAGTTCTTTAGTTGCCGTGGGATAGCAATTGCAGTTGAATATTTTTGGAAGCTTGGCAACAGAAACATCACTGTGTTTGTCCCACAGTGGAGAACAAGGCGTGATCCTAATGTCACAGGTGAGGCCCAGTGACTTTTCCATATTTCTGGTTAGGTATTCATTGAACTGGCTTCAAATTGCAACACAAGGTACTTAGAATAGAATCACACATGTGGGCAACAGATTGAATGATGAAATTCTGAATAGTTTCTGTCTGGTAAAATATCAGTTGCAAACTCGGTGTGGTGGTGCACACCTGTAATGCACGCAGGAAGGAGTAGAGGACCAGAGCCGTCCTTGGCTGCACAGTAGAATTTTTGAGGCTGGCCTGGGATAAACATGCCTCTCAGTTGAGGAGTGTTGTATTATAAAAGGGAGTGGTTAGGAAGGGTAGAAGGCTAGCATTGCTGTTAGAAGTTAGGTGTCTCCACTAGGTTGGGCTTTGGAATATTTAAATAATGTTTCTTTAAAATAGTTACTTGGCCAGTTTTCTGTCTTTTGATAACGTCTTTCCAGTAGTCTGAGGGCTTATTAGGAATCATTTCTGTTTGCCATTGGGTACTTTGTGCATAACCTACAGCTCTCACACAGGAAGTTTGGACTTACTGTGTTGTAAAATACTCCAGAGAATGTAAGGTTGTTTTTGTCCTGGGTCATCATAGACAAACGGGGGGGGGGGGGGGGGGGGGGGGGGTGCGGGCACAGCACAGGGGGGCTCCTAGAAAGGAGAGGTAGCAGGGGGCAGAGGGGAACATTTGTCCAGCTCAGAAACAGGAAGTGAAGTCTAATGCTGAAGCCAGTCCAGTCTACTCCACTTCCGAGTGTTCCCAGCTTTCTTTATCTGGGAGATGTCAGAACAGAAGGTCCTGGAGGAGCTAGGTGGATTCACTCATTGCCTAGCAGAGTCTTATTGCATGTGCACTGGGCAGCTGCAAGGTAGGGAACCCCAGTGTGGGCAGGTCAGCTCAGGTCACTGGCAGCTGCTTTGGTAGGAAATGCAAACCCAGGAATCTTAGGTCTCAGCTTCTCTTGCCTGTGACTGCTTTCCCACAGAAGAGCATCAGCCCTCCCTCTTGTCACTAGTGTGCCTGGGACAATCGGGCTTGTACAGACAACTGAGACTAATTGGGAGAGAAGCCTAGCCTTTCTTGACTGAAGCAAAGTGGTTTGTTCCTGCTGCTGCCTCTGCATCTAGAGGGCTCTTCCCCTCCACACTCCCACTTTTGGGGGACTCTTGTCACTTCTCTTTCTGTATTCTACTTGTCATATATACCTTTGGAAGAGTTCTTGAGGGCAGCATTGATAAATTACAGGCTTATGGTTTAGTCTCAAGAGGAAATGAATTTAATATTTGTTTGTTTGTTTAAAAACTACCCAGTCAGGGCTGGAGAGATGGCTCAGTGGTTAAGAGCATTGCCTGCTCTTCCAAAGGCCCTGAGTTCAATTCCCAGCAACCACATGATGGCTCACAACCATCTGTAATGAGGTCTGGTGCCCTCTTATGGCCTGCAGACATATACACAGGCAGAATATTGTATACATAACAAATAAATAAATAAATATTTTTTAAAAAAAAAATTAAAAAAAAACTACACAGTCAGTTCCTATGCAGGGTTTGTCTTAGTATGAGTCTTAATTGATTTTCTTTTTTCTACTTGATCTGATAGTTAGTAAAATTGAGTCAGTAGGAAAAGGAGGTTTTCGGCAGGTCCCCAAATGAAGTATTTGGGTTTGCGTCCATTTGTTTACACATCTGGGAAAGATGGCCTTTACTGAACACACATCAACTTCTTCCACAAACAGAACAGCACTTCTTAACCCAGCTCCAGGAGCTTGGAATACTATCTTTAACTCCTGCCCGGATGGTCTTTGGAGAACGGATTGCTTCTCATGATGACAGGTATGAAGGGCTGTTTTCTTTCCCAAGGTGGGAGTGGGGTGGTGAGGAGCCAGCTGCCTGCCACGAGGCTGGTGTGCACTCTGAAGGGACCTGCTTGCTCAGTTTTAAAACTCGTGATCAAAGTCACTACTAAGCTTATATACTCTGTGAGGTTAAGAATGGCACAGAAGACACCATTGTGTCAAGTTTGAGTTTATTTAATTTAGTAAAGTATGTCTGAAGTGAGAACAGGCAGGTATATGTAGTTGGTTTTCCTGTTTTTTCCTCCTTGAGACAGTTTCACCCTGCCGCCCTGTCCTATAAGTCACTATGTCAATCACAGATCTGAGTGGATCTCTGCATTTCAGGCCAGCCAGGGTTACCTGGTGAGATCCCACCTCCCAAAAGGAGGAATTTGGATTCCAAGCTTCCCTGGTGATATGTAGTTTTTGCAACTCTATTCTGGTGTAAGTAGTGACAAGCGTGGTGTCTGTTGCCCTTGGCCTGTTTGCCCCTTCTCTGCATTGTTCTGTGCGTTCCCACCCCTTCCAGTGAAGACAGTGCCACACTGCTATGTGCTGGAATGGGGAAGAGGGGATCTAGGAGCACTGCAGACATTCCCTCACCGATAGGAAAGAGATGAGCTTAGATGGGGGGCATTCAAGGTACTGTCAAAGAGCGGTGTGAGGAGAGCTGAGGGAGGGCAGCGCACGGGTTGGGAGCTTTCCTGGGAATCTGTCCTGGAAGGGCAGTTCTTGTCCGCATCGTCACAGGCTCAGGAACCCCGAAGCGCTTGGGTGGAAAAGCAAGTAGGTCAGTAGGCACAGGAAAAGCCTTCAGGCCTCTACCACCACAGCTTTTTTCTCACAGCCAAGGGATTCGAACCTAGGAACAGGCGTGCAGATGAAACTTCCTCTTGGTTTACGTTGCTCTCTAGGTTTCAGAGAGTATAGTTGTGTGTCCTGGTGGGAAGCCTCACTATCTGCTTTTATTGACAGCGCATAGCACCGTTGACAAGTCAT